GAATTCGAGCACAGAACCCCAAACTCAGTATGGATGAGCTGAAGGGAATTGGAGTCAAGCAGTACCTTTTCCGATTCGGCTATGTCGGCCAAATACTCGAAAGCACTTTTTGCTTGTAACTTTTTCAATTCAATCGGCTCCAGATGTACGATTCCTCGTTCCCCTCGAGTTGATATACAGATGCTACCTGGAATTTGAAGCCGTTAATCCAGAAGCTATTATACTAGCCGCCTGGATATCCCATCGCTTTTTCTATTCAGCTATCCAAAGAAAAATGTAAAGTAAGAACACTAAATAATTACCAACAGATTAAAAAAGTCTATTCTAAAAGAAAGATATATATAAATGCATAGTATGATACCATGTCACTTACCTCCAGCGATATATGAGATCCTCAAATACATTACAGATGATGGTTGAGCAGAAAGCATATCATTGATCTGGAAAATAAACAGTCGAACATTTAAAAAGTTATCCCCAAACTTTATGGAAGAGTCAGATCCATGCTGAGTCAGATCCATGCTTCTCGACGATCCTACTGTTGCCTATTCAGTTTGATAAACGGAAAAATTCCAAAGCATTGACCAATTTTGATTTTAGTATGCGCCCTGTATACGACTTTCACTCAGAATCGCAGTGACGTTTTGAGAGCGTATGTGGTCCATACAATTACTCAAAGTGGCCACCATTCTCAACGAATTTGGTACACAACAACCAGGTCACAGAAGCCATGGATAGCCTGAACGGGTATCGGTCTAGGGTCCCATCCCTAAACCGTGCGCGTAGTAGGGTGATTCACTTGCCACTATACCGCTTCTGCCCAAAAATCGAAAAACTGATGCCCTCCGGACGAGCAGAAGCAGGATTCAGGCTGAGCATACAGTGATAGCCTCTCAATCTTCTAATTTCCTTCTTCGTAGCTCTCGTAGCTGCTTTGCTTATCCGAGAGGGAGTCGTTTATTCCCCATGTATAGTATTATGCCTTTGTTTGTTGAGATTGCTTTTAATCTTCCATATCATTAGCCTAACGTGACTGATTTCCCTATTATTTTGATGACCTTGTTTGATTGATTTATTGAATGATGATTACGATAATCAATAGATGGAAAATTTCCACCTGACCTCATTGATATCAGTTAAACCATGCAAAATGAAGTCATCCCAAAGCTGTTTGACATTGGTACGAGCATCTTGGAAAATTTGTAATACTTCCAATATACCTGGAATTGAATTTTGTTGAATTTCAGGGAAACTTTTTACAAAACTCCCTTCCAGAACAACTAGAATTAAGCGAAACCTCCGTGCTAAAATTGTTACTATAAAAAGAAATGCAGCTCTCCGAGAAAAACTGGGCCGACGTACCTCTCCATATGGAAAACCGCATAACATTCTGATCACAATCATACCGTAGATGTGGACATAGGACGTTTTTGAACGTCAGTAATGGTTCTTCACCTGGAAACACGAACCCTATGATGGAACCGATCAATAAAGAGAAAAAGAACATAAAAAGAGAGAAAAGCACGTCATCCTTGATGTTACCTTCTGGAGTACAGTGTTCTCGACAGTCTTCACATTCCATTTTTTCTTTCATCAATTGAAAATCGATATCACTGAGTGGTCGTTTTACTTCAGCATTTACCGTGAAGTATGCCTGATAGAGCTGTTTGAACCTTGACCACTTGATACCTAGAAGAATTGAACAGATTTGGCTTATTTCCATCGTCNACCTAGTTGCATTATGCCCCAACATTTCCATGCGGAGATTAAGAAGTCGAAAATGTAGGTGACTTCCGAAGGGCAACCTTTTACAGCCATTTCAAGAGGTTCTAGTTCACGATAATTTCGGACAATCCCGATTGTGACGAAAAATGGAAGATGAGATGGAAAATATTGGGATGATGGCGAAGAAACTAGGTAAATTGGGTTTCCAATGTGAAAAAAGCCTTTGAAAAATCGTTTGAAAAGGGGCTGGATGAGAGTGAGACCAGAAAAATGAAGAAGAATGGGGCGTTTGGAGGAGCTATGCAATGCGTGTCAGTGCGTACGTGTGGGTTCCGGAGCTAATAACTGACTCGGTAGGGAAAAATTCATTCAATTATAAGCATAAGTAAACAAAATAACTCTAGTGATAGCAAAAATAACTCACCTTGAATTAGGGATCGCAGCAGCAAAAAAATAGCAGAGAAAAAAGAATGGGAGAAAAACATCGCCTCATTACTCGGCGATCAGCTGATCGTGTTTGGGTCCTAGAGCGAATATTGCAATCTGTATCGCCTCGACACTTGTCTGACGTGACATCGATCGAGGGGCGGGAAATCCGGGCGATCCGNGGGCTCCTTCTATGCCTTAGCTGTTGAGTTTTGGGACTCGACAGCGTCCTTCCTGTTACCTTTGGTGGCCACTGGGTATTTTTAGGGGGAGAATTCAGAAGCCGTTTTTATCGTGAACTGTGCCTTTCGAAGGTGATTCGGCAAATTCCAGTCGCTTATGAGCTTATTTGCCCACAATAATGACACATACCTTTAGTGAGCAGCGGGACATCTCTAATCCATAGGTAAAAATGGATAACATCTCAATAAAATGACATACCGGTCTCGCTCCAATTGAAAATTAAGCCATCAAGAGTACTTGTTCCATATAACCAAAAACAAGTGGCCGTATATGAGCTCATCATTCGTTGTACTTGACAATCCTGAAACAAATTTAAATTTTTCCTTGAGTAAAAGTTATATCAATTTGAAATTCTTCTCGATAGTTAGGGTGAGGAATTGTCGATAAAATTTCGCTCTTGCAATTAGATAATTGAAATTATTATTTCTACTACACTGAGCTCTTTCTAAAAAGGTCACCACTACTCTTCCCATTAGAGCAAAAAGTTTAACATCATGCCTGATTTCTTCGTGTAGCGATGGTGAACGGTAATGAAAGCGATCGCACGTACGAAAGACCTCCTGAAGGCGAAAAGCTCGTGGCACGAATGTAGAAATAGAATACAGGTCGTTTTCCAACTTGCCCTGCTCGATTATCCAGAAGGACGGTATCCTTAATAGAATGGGGAACTTAATCAACCGACCATAAAATGACCCTTCACACTTCCTTGCATTTTATACTTCGATAAAGGAACGAACGTCGGGTAGTTCCAGGCGACGCCACCTCATGCACCTCATGCATGGTTTTATGGATAAACGTGGAGTTTTCCTATAGCCTCAAGAATCATTATATAGATCGAACACGCCTTTAAACTCCCCTACGATCACTACGATTCTGAGTTCGTCGAATCCCTCCACAAAACAAATCATTACAATCGGAACCGATTTAGATTTAAAGACACAGTTCACGATAAGAATGATTCCTGAGCTTTCCCCGTAGGACGATTGAAAATTCTCTCCCTGTGCACATCAGATGAAAACTACTAGAGGTCGGTCTCATCACGACCACAATCCATATTCTGCCTGTTTTTTTGGCTATATCGGCATGAGAATTCCTTCAACGTGTAGCTTTTTGAGCAGACCCCTATTTCAAGAAAAAAAGATTACCTTTTGCCTGGTTGTACATAACAGATGTGGATACGTAGCCTGCCAACTGTTAAGCTTATCACTGAACGAGGGCAATAACATCACCGATTCTTTACTATTAACATCCGATTTCTTGTGAGCAGTATTGCCACCTTCTGAAGAAAAGAAATAGAATTACTTTGATAGTTTTTCATACGGCTAATGATGAATTGTTCAGTTTTCTCAATTCCCACTACTTTCTGCTGCTCAATTTCATCCATTACTGGTGAAGGAAACCACCGAGAACTCTCAAGGTAAGAGATATTGAGAAAAAAGGAATAGGACATTTTGAGAAAGCTATCCCAGTTGTTATCAATTGAATCAATTCTTATACAGTTCCGTTCTGTTGGCATCACTTCAACTGCTATCTACTGAAATTTCGAATACGGGTCCTGCTCCCGTTATAGGAATTAGCTGGCTTAGATAATTGCGGCCCCAGTTAAGACCTTGCTTGTCCATCTTTCACCACGGTAATACCCTAAGTAGTTTCCCTCGTCCGTAGATGATCCTTTCAATGTGTATAGGATTGTTTGCCCATTCCAGTAACAAACTCACCAGCATTAGCCGTGGCGTTGTTCCGCTTAACACCACTAGTCGGTTTCATGGCAAGCAAAGCAGCTGACGGAAAACTACCCGGAATATGTGGTGAGAACGATCCCTCACGAACTTTGTTCATTTGGATCTGAAAATCATCAAAATACTGGAAAAGTTTTTAGTACACAAGTCCTGAGACCAGTATTCAAAGCAGAGGCAATCTTTCGTCGCACCTCTTTCAGGAGAGAAAAAGAATACCGCAGTCTGTACCATACGGTCTCACCTGAACAGCCTGCGCGGTCTCTTCACTGACTATCTGTACATCGAACTGTTTGAATATGACGGCAGAAGCCAGACTATCACAGTTGAATGGGAAGAGATTGTTGGTTACAAGAATAGCATTCGTCGACGGCTCGGCAGCAAATAGGCAATCGGCCACCAGCTGATCTACTGTTAAGAATACCAAATCGAGTAGACTTCTAACCGGATCGGACATTGAGAAAGGTAGCTTGCACTGGAGTTCGAAGCGAAAACCCTGAACAGACTCACTACACCCACCTTCTTGTTACCTTTATGGAGAACTTTTCTAAAGATAGGGAGCATTTTTAAGAGGTTGGCGATGAAAGGTATGGGCTTTGGGGCTCTACACAAGAAATTACAGATGAAACAAAAGAAATCAGAATTTTCTAGAAAGGCACGGAGAAACTGTATAGCGCCAAAGCCTGTCACGCGTACGGGGGATCAATCTAGGATCCGTCTGGGAGGAAAAAGGTTCCCATTCCATTCCGGGGGTGAGTGGTTGGTACCGAGCTGGACAATAGCAAAATTTAGGAACACAAAAGCAGTGGCTCGTTCACTAGCTGGCTGCTGCAACTCATTCCGTAGGCCACCTATGCATTCAAGACGCCACAACGATTCCGACTGGAGGTCGAATGCTGGTAGACATCCCAGGAATGGGGTAAATTCCGGAAGACACAGCCCTCCATCAAGATTGAATGCAAGTAGAGTAGGAGTATTCAGTTATGCGCGTAGAGGTAAATGGTCAAAGACTTCCAGACCACCAAATAATTCCTTCGCAAATGATTAGCGAATGTCTAGGTATTAAAAGGAGGAAAGATGAGCAGAAGGCTGCCAATGAAACGTACCTGTAACCTTGAAGCAAGAATCCCTAATGTGTACATCACCGACGTGTAATATGTCGTAGCCATCCGCAGTTTCTCCTCGGGTACTTCTCGAAAATTCGCCATTCGATCCAACTGAGCAGCTCTCAGAGGCGAGAAAATTGCCGATGCATGGGATCTACAAAGCTCACGGAAAGATTCCACGCATGGTCGAAGCTGTAAAAGGGCTAGTGAGAAAAAAGTTCGTAAACCATTAGCCATTGTTTGAAAACCGTTGAACTACCGAACTAAGAACTAAGCCGAAAATACCGTAAAATGCTGTAAAACAACCCCTCCCTTAATCTTACCCTAAATGGCTTTACCTACCACAAAGGATGGATATTCTGTTTAAAAACAAATTTATTCGAAATCAAGTGGAAAATGACTTTTTATAATGATTAAGCCATGAACTTGGAATTCAAGGCTAGCCAGCATTTGCAGCCATTCAACTAACCCGATACTATCAGGACCTTTTATGTAGTGGAAAAAAGTACCGATTTTCACTCTTCTTGTCATGAAAAATTGAAAATTAAAAGTAGACTGAGAAATCAGCTCTAATTCAAACCTCAAAAAACAATAAACACAAACCTGTGCCTCAGTAAACGTGGCAATAGCCGAGTCCAGAGACTGCATCGGTGTATCGAGTTGAGAATAAAGGTCATGCAGCGTAGTCAATGTAGGAACCAGTAACTGAACTATGATCAGTGATCCTTGGAGAAAACATTTTGATATTTATTTATTATTCTCAAGCTGATGGTTTCGTAATTGCTTTGAAATTTTATAATGAAGTATTATATTTGAGCAAACGGAAGACTTTCGTGGAAACAAACTTTCTGCAAATTTGAAGGGAAATGTGGAAACTGGTGAAAACTTTTCAAGAAGACAGTGCTTCTACATGAAGATCTCCGTTCGATTTCTCGGAAGTTCAATGCTCAAAGAGCAAGTTTCGTTTGCTGCATTGTCTTGCTTGTTTGTAAAGTTAGTGATACAACACTGTTGACTTTCGGAAAATACGATTTAAGGCATGTTCCGTTTCATCTCTGGGAATTATAGCAGGAAATGAGGCAGAAGAATCACACCAAAACGGATTCTTTGAAACTCCTCAGAACAACAAAACCTACCATCTACCATACTTTCTCATTAGAAACTGCCAGAAAATTTTTCAGTTGTGATAAAAAACAGTCATTCATTTCATTCACGTTCAAAGAGATGAGCGACAAAGCCACCTTCTACGAGTCTAATGATGAGAAGAGTAAGATGTGTGGGTACTTGAGAAGGGCTGATTAGCTTCTACCAGCGTACCACTTCCTTAGGTTACTTGACTTTGATCAAAATAGATATATAAACTTACATTATAAAATTGCATCCATCGGAAATCGTTTTCCATCATGCCTGGAGGTGGTCGAGCCGGTCGTGCCTGAAATATTGGAATGCAGTTGTTAAACAGGAAAGTTTGTGAGGTGGAGGCATCAACTCAAGGATTCGGGTATTCGACGGCTGGGCCTCACAAATAGTAGCAGCTCCTTTTGACATGATGCTTTATAAACTGCTGTCACGAGGCTCCCTGGCTTCTACTACAGTACCACTCTCTTTTATTTATTTATACTTCAAAGCGATATGCCCGACCCCGAATCGGATCAGCAAGAAGACAACACAGGTTGAAGGAAACGGGAAGGTTGTGAGGGGCAGAATAGTATCAAATAAGATAGATAGCTGGAAATGGTTGGCTCCCTACTCGACAGTTCATTTCCCTAAACAGACATGACCGCCACCTTTATCCTCCTACACTGCTCCCTGAAAGAAAGAAGTAGGTTAGAAGGTACCTTGTTGATGAGATCGAAAAGTTTGATGTTGAGGCGTTTGGTAAGTTCTTGCTCTTCTTGATCGACATGTCGCGGGTCGATAAACCGTGAACTCAGCCTGGAGATGACTGCCAACAAGGACCATGTCAATCGTGTCCATTCGACTGTAAACGTTGCTGAGCTCGATGCTTCCTGATCCAAGTCTGAAATATGTCACCTAGCAAAACACTAGGCTACAACAGTTGGCTTTTACTCTACTACATATCATGTACTACCAACAATATCCAAAAACACCATGATGACATCAAAGTTGTTTACTGTAAACACCTATAATTCTATTATCTGGAGAGAGGTGGATTTGGTTGCTTTTTCCGACTTTGCCCCATTGACACATAAAAAAACTAAATATTTCGTTTCATTGAATACTTTCTATTGCTTTGAAACTGTCAACTGTAAACAGATGCCTTGAGTGGATGTCTACACAAATATCCTTTTTTTAGAAGCATTCTAATTTAAGTAAAAATTTTAGCGGAATTTTTGAGGACAGTACTAGTACTCCTACTAATTGCCTCTCGCCTCACCTCCATTACTTCTACCGTAGCCCTCTAGGAACATCGTCGAAAAGATGAAGCATGGAGGTCTCTTACAATTGGGTTGAAACTATAGACTTGAGATGAAGTATACAAATTACTTAGTTCTTCGTCAAGATCCTATTGTTCCAGGCTCTCTCCCTCCCACTCCACCCATCTCAGCCTGAAAGTACTTCAAGAGGGGCATTTGGACGAGGTGCCAGCCTGTGCAACCGCATAAATAGCTGGCTACATGAAGTCAACAACGCCAAAAGTTGTTGCCACTACCGTCATTGTCCCATGCGCTGTAACTGTGGGCTAACAGGTCCATCATAGGGATGAATCCCAGAATACATTTTAACTGTGCCTTTAAGTTTCAAGCTTCGTTCAATCGGCCCATTACCAACGGGTAATGCGTTAAGGGATGAAGAACAGAACAGTTTGATGCATCATACACTTTACTCGATGGCTACCGATTTAGGATGAACCCAAACCTTCCAAGTCTCTCTCATCGAGCCCATTTAAAAAAAAGTAAAAATCAGTTTCTCATTCCACAAAAGTACTCGATCCACTCTGCCAGCTTCTTCTAAAGTGAGTTTGATTAACAAAAACCCGTTCATTTTTACTACCGTCTCCACCTTTACGGGAATTCTGGCAACAGAACGACAACACTAAGACCTGCTTTCAAGCATATTTCATATTGATTTATAACCTAAGTACTGTTACACTTTAACAAAGTTGACAAATTTGTCAGTAATATGGCAATAATGGATGGCACTGATTGCATTTCGAAACTCATGATGATTAATGGCAATTAGGAACTTTGAAATGGTCACAGATAGGGAGTCCTCTGAGGCTTCTGAGGCAGAAATTTTGTTTATAACTCGCCACAACCTTGTGAGACATCGGTATGCCCTAACTTTTAAATCGGACAGGTGAGACTGACAGGAGTCCTGTTCGAAGACAAAGTTTCGACTATAACTTGTGAGGCATTAGTATGCTCTTTGGGTAATCACCTTTTCCGAATTTCACGCCGGTAACGACGAAATTAATGGCGTCATGCCACTCCCTATCAGTCTGACCAGTTTCTGGTAGATACGACTGGCTCTCCCCCTCCCACTCCACCCATTCCTGCCTAACCCCGACTGGGCCGAATAATCAGCCAATATTCCAGCACCCATGGGAAAACATAAAGATCTGAAAACTCATGCAAAGCAATATTTCATGAAACGAATCGAAATAAGTGTTCACTAGCCTGTTTGTCAAAGGAAGTAACCGTAAACAAATACAAATTCTTGGTAAACAATCTTTAGAAGAAAACAACAACAAATCTCACTTTCAATTTTCTTCTCGCATGCGCAGACCAATTGATTCAGAAGTGATTTTACGGGATCATCTGCTCCATCAAGCATCTTCCGTACGCCATGGAAAGCGCACAACTATAATGAAATCTATAGATTACTGTAGAATTCATCGTAAAAATTGCTCAAATGGGAAAAAAATCAACCCACGTTTACGACGGCTTTTTTTAGGTGTTAAAATTGAATTTTATGGTTTCATTTCTTTAGCCGTAAAGATAACGGTGGACGGTTGTTGACATGGCACTACCGTAGTCTTTGAGTAGTACGAATACCGTTTTTCAGATTTTACTGATGGTACAACTACAAATTAGAATAGGCCTTCGGAAACGGTATCTTCCTCTTTTTCTTCTCCTTATAATGATCCTTGATTTTTTGTAAAATCCTATCTCGTCTGGGAGTGTCCGTCTTCTAATACATAGGAGTTCAGGAGTGGGTCAATCACACCGAATCTGTGAAATAATTTTTATGCAAAGGTGTTACTCTAATAGGTACAGTTGAAGAAAATCTTCTTCTTTACCCATACCTACTCGAGTAACGCAACCGTAATGTACTTGTACGGTGGCGTCCGAAACTGAACTCTAATCGTCTAATCTGCTTGTTCGACTCACATGTACTACCTGATTATTACCATTTGTACAAAGAACATTCCACCATTATCGCTTTCTGGCACTTCATGACCCTATTCATGACTTGTCAACAACCAATGACTGACCATCAATCGCAACATTAGATCGTTATGCCTCCTAAGATAGATGCCTCATGAAGAATGAAACATTACTCATCAACTTCAATGACATCTTCGAGATGCGCCGTGCTTTTGTATCCTGTTTCGAATCCCAGAGGTTCCCGAAAGAGAATTTGTTGTTAATAATGACTTTCAGAACGTTTTCCATTGAAGAATCCCTTCCTCTTCGGAAGATCTGAACGGCGAAAGGCTGCGATGATGGCTACCCTCTTTCAACAAGAGCGATCCACCGCCAGTGAGGATAAAACTACCTCAGTACTGCCCAAGATTTACTTGTGGTCAACCATCCTAAATGGTCCGAAGAAAAATCATTCTGTCATTAAGTGTTTTGATCATGTGACCACGTATGCCTGATATCAAGCATCGAACCACTGCGCCAGGTCATTATTTCAGAATAAATAAACACTGCGGAATCGGAGAGCCACTCCAGAGAGTTTCGGCAAAATGATACAATAAAATAGAAAAATAAAAGCAATAATATAAACAAAGCAAAAATGAAATAAATCAGAAAATTAACATAAATCATTATGCCGATTCGGGATGCACCACTCATTTAGATCCATCCAGAATTTGAGTAACGCTCGAATGGGTATGCGGCTTATACATATAGTACTTACGGAGGATAAAAGATGCACAAGCCAACCCTTTTCTTCCCTCAGACAAGAACTGCGAATAGATGGACATGTAAAGAAACATAGAGACAAAGCGAAAAGAAAGAAAAACCGAAATTCATTCAATTTCTACCAACAAGAGGATCCATCCCACTCTTGCGAGAGCTTTACCTGTACCGTTTACCACCCAAAGAGCGAGCTGATTAATACAAAAAGACTTAAAAATAACTTTTTTTGTGCCATTTGTCTGCTTCTTATTGTTAGTTACCCTGTTTATAAAGATATGATTCCAGTAGGAACGTAATTCGGTGCGTTAATCGACGATATTGCCCAGATACAAGCAAAAAAATCAGAAAAAAGCCAATGAAAAGGCAAATCAAAACAACCCAAATAAAAATTGTTTTCATTGAACTCACCAGTTCGTAAACTATCTTATGCATAGCTGGCTCATGTTGTGGATAACCGATGCTGGTCATCCGGCCAGAACCAAGGAAATATTATTGAACAGATTGAATAAAGTTTTTGAATCTGAAAAATTACTTTGAAATTATGATAAGCAGAAAAACACAGCAATTTCACGACGTTCAACAGTGACGTTTAACAGTAAAAGCTCTAAAACACCGAAACATTAATAATCGAATCAAATCCTGTAATATGTCAGAGTAGACGAGAACAAGTCCCATTAAAAATTGCTCATAACCTGCTAAATACATGGCTGTTCCGTCTAGATACAACCCTATTTGCTACAAGACATCTATGTCAATCCAGATATCTGTATTGGAACCGCAGCACAGTATAAAAGCTCCCTGGGGTTCGGCTGGTACGGCAGCATGTTTACCATTACAACGCTGTTAGTAAAGTGCAATATTGTATTACCCATAAAATTCTATAGACAAAAGCGATTCAATGTTCATTTACTATAATACATAGCCATCACCGCTTATATGCATATAGAGAAAATCATTCCTGAGACGAGGCACCAGGGTACTAGTCGCAAAGCCAAGGTCATTTGGTCCTTTTCAACCATTCGACTTCGGACCTTACGACCCTGATCTGTCGGCCCAGGAACGATTTTTCCTGTATGGATATAAACAGTGGTGGTGATATCGAATCGCTCAACAGCTCTCACCTACGGGGTTTTAGGGTATACTTCAGTATCTCAATGGTCATACCGTTTGCCATCTAGAGCTATTGGACATTGGTTCGGTATCAAACAATGAGGGAAGCGGTCGGTTCTAAATGCCCTAGAAGAAGGAATTTATGTAGACTGTAGGTTAAGAAGTTTCTAACTCAAGGTTTTCAGAGCTATGACAAGCATGCTATAAAAGTCACCCCACACCAACGATTGAGTCGCTTTCCATCCGTTCCACTGGAACTCTTTCGACTTGGAAAAAAATCTGTTGAGATGTTCAATAGAAAGTTAGTTCCGTTCTTCTACAACCCCTTAGGAATCCTTGGGAAGCCAAAAATTAAGAGTAACAAGAAAAATATGGCCAGATGAAAGCAAGATTAGATGGAAAGCATTCGGTTAATGTAATCAGGAGCTCAAGAAAGCAAAGGGTTAGAAAGAACTCACGATTTCGGAAACAAAAACTATCAAAATTAACAATCGAGTTTTTCAAAGCCCATCAAGAAAAATCGATAATCGATTGATACGGTAAATAGGATTTGTGTTTCAGTAATAAGTGGAATCATATAACAAGCAAATCTTCCAGGTTATCTAGTGAACGAATAAGGTTTTCAAATAATTTTAATTTATTTGAACTAACTTTGACTCAAATTTTATTTTCTTTTCAAATCCAAAATCAATTTGTCATAAATAAAA